ACCGCAAATTCCTCAAACCCGCGGCCAGGCAGGCCGCTGACAAATGGGTTTGTGAATGGGGTGTTTGGGGTCGGAACCATTGTGTGTGACCAGCCGTGTGCACATTTTTTTGGGAGTTAGTGTGAGTGTGCCCTTACTTATGATTTTGGCATACTCTTTTCTTATGTTCGTTTTGTTGAGCCTTTTGGATGATGTGAGGGACGCCGGACTCCGTTTCCGGCTTTTATAATTCAAAAGCAGCGCAAAACTTCCTTAAAAAAAAAAAAAAAAGGTTAGGCTTCAAAGAGTTAGCCTGATTTTTTATTTGAAAAAAAGAAAAAAAGAAAAAAGTGTGAGGACAAGCAGCAGTGGCCTTCACGCGATGAGAGCAGGGAAGTACATGGGGCCATCTTAGACACGTGGCCCTCTCGTGATTGGCATGTGGCAACAGCGAAGCTTCCAGAGGGAAAAAAAAGAGATTGAAAAGAAAAAAGGAGAGGAGAGGGTTGGAAAAAAAGGAGAGGAGAGGGGTGGAAGCTGGACTGTCTTCCTTGTTGTTGGCTACTTTGCAGATGTGATTTGCCTTGGGCACTGGGCCCTGCAAAAAAAGAAAGAAAAAAGGAACCTGGACTGTCTTGTCTCCGAGCTTATAGCTCCACTGCGTAGCCTTTTTTTTTTTTTTTTTTTTTTTTTTGAAAAACTAGGTTGTATTCACTATTCGAAATGTCCCAGTACTCTCAAAATGTTCGATCAGTCCCAACGTCTCTGGCTCAATCATCAGTCCAGAAACTTGTCAAATGCTGAGTACAAACCAGCATCAGTACATGCAGCGGCAGGAACGACTTCAGTCTGAATGTATACAACAGTGACACCGTCTTGGATTTTTGTGTTTTGTTTTTCTTTGTTTTGTTTTGTTTTGTTTTGAAGGGCCACTGCTTTGAGATGTCTATTTTTTTTTTATTTTTATTTTTTGAAAGCTATACTCTTCTCTCAATTTCACCTCACACTACCTACCTACCACTACTCCTAGGGCGAGGTCCCATTAGCAGTCGGATAGGAGTGTGCCCGATCCAGTGTAACAAGTTCATTACGAATTTCTGGGCTGAGAAAACAGGAAAAAGGCCAAAAAAAAAAGAAGAAACAGAGACCTCCCACCGGAAATCACAGCAGTGTGCTTCCCAGCCATCAGATCACAAATGATCTGATGGTGGTGGTTGCAAAAACAGTGAACAAAGTAACCACCACATTTTCTGGAATAAACTCGACTTCTGACAGCAGTGATCCTGACACCCTCCAT